CTATTTATCTGTCACCCAAATTGCATTCATATCGATTGTATACTGAAACTGGTAACATTTCAATGCTTAAATGAATCTGTTTCATTTCTCATCCAGGGCATTTTGATATTCATTAATGTATTCAATATACCTGTATGAACTCCATTTCTTCTTCTGTTAGCGGTTTCCTATGGTAGCGACTGGGAAGGTCCTTGTCCTCTATACCAAAGCCTTTGGGTGTATTGCCTATAGATTTACCAGCTGGTGCTGCTGAGGAAGAGGGAGTAGATATGGCTGCCTGTCTAGGTTGTAATGATGAATCTAATAAAATCAAAGTAAACATGAAGTAATCAACACTTGACTACTAAATCTAAATACATAAAAATACAAATATTTAAACCTTTTTATCCCCTTTAGTCATGATAATTGGCCAGCATAGCTTTTGGCATGAAGTACTACAAAATATATGTGAATTGAAATAACCTTGAGTAAATTTCTAACAAGCATTTGTAAATTCAATATATCTGGTCGATACAATTTTTAACACATAGAAAAAATATAATGATTTGCCCACCTTTCCATTTTTGTTAAAGTTGAAAAACAAATATAATTTTGTTTGGCTAAAAACAAATTGAAAAGGATCAGTTGTATGTACATGTGCTTCTTCTTTGCCAAAAAGGCCGCTATCTCACCATTTTATGTTGATGATGATAAGGTTCTTACCGGTAGCTCCTGTTGATGGAACGTTTGTTCCATAACGAAACTTTATTGCTGGTATATGAGGTCTTACTGCAGTCTACAAAGATAAAATTGTTCAAATTAGTGTAAAGTTGCATCCACTTTAGATTGAGTATGTCTCGAATAAAAAGTAAAGTAAATAAACTATACATAGTTATCGCTTTCTTTTTTTTAATTACATTTTTTAACATTTTTTTATTAATATGAAGACATGCTGTAATATATATAAACTTTATTTTACAACAATTATGAAACAAGTTATTTCTATTAAATTCAACCTATATTTATCACTCTTGTTGGCCCAGATGTTACTATTGTTAGTGCCCACGGGGTTCTAATGTGGGAGGAAACCAGAAGACACGAAGAAAACCTACGAAGGAAATGAGGCCCGGCCACCTTGGTGAAAGGCAAGCGCGCTATTCAAAGACAATTACAAACTATACACTAACATGACGCTGTATCTATAGATATTACCGGGCTATTTTATTTATTGCTCCAACTCTTGACCAGAATGAGTAAAGAATATCAGATATCATTTTGATAAGTTCTACTCATGTATATACATGTCTGGCATTTGTTAAACATCAAATATTTTTGAGTGATACTCAAAGGGATAAGGAATATACAAAAATACTTCTTCTTACAACAAATGCCCTTGCCGGAGCCGCCATCTTGAAACAGACGACAAGTATTCGGGAGAGCTATACCGAAGGGAGATAAATACCAATCATGCTCTTGTGTCTTCATTTCCCGCGACATGTCAAACTTGAGTCACAAAATGACAGAACACATGTTGCTGAGAAAAAAAAGTTAGAAAGAAAAAAAAGTCCTTTATTAATATACCAGATTAGAGATACTTTTAATTTTGGTATACACTAGGAATAGAACGACGTATCATTATATGTTATACCAGAGTATAATACTATAACTTACGTCTCAGATTTACACTGGACTTTTATCAAAGGTACATGCGATTTTATTACAGTAGATATGCTTGAACCTATGTTGTGTAAAGGAAAATAGTAGATGTTTTATGATTTTATACCAACATTCTGTAAAAAACCGATCAAATAATGTCTCGCTTTTTAGTATAGTCATAAATAAAAAAAAACTCCATTTGAACAAAAAGTTAAAGGTTAACAATACAATATTGACCTGAGGACGTTTTGCTTGCCGAGCGGATTGATTTTTTTCTGTGTACCGAAACATAGAATTATTTTCTAACAAAATCTAGATGTCCGAAACGTTAAGACCCATTCCGCAAGCAAAACCGCTAAATATTTTGAAA